TATGGACAAGAAAGCTTTAGCTTTTAAAAATAGGTCCAGTGGCGTCAGAGAAAAGGGCCACAAACGAAAAAATAGAAATCGCTCAAACTTTGTTTTTTGACGATTCAGGGGCTCTTGATCATTATCCAAATAAATTTTGAGGGTTAGGAGTTGATGAGGGAGTGAATCGTAATTTCCTAAGGTTTTCTATCGGATCTATTTGACATATCTGACTTTATCAAACATTTGCGTAGAAAACAGGAAATCATACCTATTTCCTGTATCTGTACACTCAAAAATTTCTAGTGTTAATGCATGGATATAGTGTTTAATGATAACACATTACGTATTATTGAGTTTGGTAAAATTTCGAACATCATTCACTGGTATTGCTACTAGAATCAATTAAAAATAAAGTATTTTACTTTGACAATCAACATATACTATTGCTGCACGGAAAAAAATGGCTTGTGGATGTCAGTTCATTGGGAAAAAAGCTAATGACAAAAATTACTCTAATATAATTGGCTTTTTGACATTTTTGAGAGCACTCTTATCAAATATCTTTTCACTAAAAACAAGCATGTTGTATTCTTCCTGAAGATAGTCGATATTGTATATCTATTATTTTTTGGAATGGTATTATTTCTCTAAGTTGAAACGGAATAATTACAAAACAATATATTTGAACTTTTCCAGGGAAAGCCTTTCAATATGAGCAAAAATTGGTTTTGTAACAGAGGTCTATCACCTATCACACAGCATCCAAGAGATGAAGAAAAAGATAAGACTTCTGAAACAGTGATTACTGATTCACGTAAGGTGTCATCTGTGGTTAAACAAAACAGCGACCACAGTGACTGCAACTCGGTAAAACATAAGTATGTTTTTTTTGGTAGAGTTCCCATATTTATGATTTATTCTAGGTAATATCTTCTACATCCCCCAAGATATGCTGTACACCCCCATCATCATCAATATCCGGTTTATCAGAAAATGTTCATTGCAGTAACTTGTGCAAGGACTCTGAGGTAATAATCATTCACTGCCTAGTCTGTGAACTTTTTTATTCTATTGAACCTTTTTCAGTACAACGTTACCTCGAATAACGAGAGCATAGTGGAAGATCCAGACCACCAAAGTGAATCTAGCTCGGTAAAGCAATATTATGTATTCTTTATGAAACATGTCTGATATATGTCATTCATTTCAGTTCATATCTCTTACTTCGCCTAATATATGCTGCACACCACCATCATCTTCTGTAATTTCTGATGCAGAAGATGAAGATTATAGTCCCCACACTAGTGAAGAGGCTGAGGTAAATATATTACTATTATTCTACTCAAGTACCCATTGAAAAATTTGGATTGGGTGGAGTTGTGTAGCCAATCCGATATTTTAATTTTGTAATTTTACAATTTTAATATTTTTCAACTTTCAAATTTTTTGATTTTTCGACTTTCCAATTAATAACTATAACATCTTTTCCATCAAAACGTTGCTATGTGAGGGGAATCTATGATGTTTAGAATGTGTCAAATAGATTGCGAAGAATTACTAGGGATGGAAGTGTATCATTAAACTAAATAAAAAAGAGATATACCCGTCCCACCCTCTACAACCTCCAACTCGCTAATTTTCCACCACAAATTTTTTTCTCAAAAATGATCAGTATCTGAAACAATAAAAAACGAAGTTTATGAGATTTCTTTTTTTGTTTTTAACTTTTTCTCCGCCGGCACTGGAACGCTCTTAAAAACTATATAGGTAGCTTTTCTGTCCCTGGTCTAGTGGTAACCTTCCCCTCAAGTAATCAAGGACTCGACACAGCAGCAGAGCGGCGGACAGACTGACGGAAATGAGTGATCTACATGTCATATAACATGAAAATACTTTAGAATACTTCCTTGTCAGTTTTCTGATCTTCAGTCCAAGGAACAAGAACCGGTCTTTTTCTTCGGTAACGTTTCATCCACTTGTTGAGATTCCGAATCTGGATGCGGTTCTTGGATTTCTTCATATTGATATAGAGGCTCTGGGTGGTCATTATCCTGCTGCGCTTCTGATATCAAATTCTCGTCCAGATTCAATTCAATTTTTTCTAGGGATTTTTCTTTGAAATGACCTGCCTCGCCCTTGTCTATCAACGTCAAAATCTTGGAGAGTCTAGCCGTTTGGTAGACATCATCTGGTAATCGGTATCATGCACGGTGGATACCTAGTGTATGTCCCATAAAAGATGCGAGTTGTTCCACGTCATTTTCTGACATGTTTAACAATTGGGTCAAAGTTGCTATGACCTTTCTCAGACGGGTGCTAGTCAGGGCATGCGGATTTGTAACCGATGATAGGTTCTTATGAATTGGGTTTACCGAAAAGATTTATGTTCGACACCGTCTGAATATTATCTTTACACTCTAGTTTTAGATTCAAGTGCTCATGTACATCCTTGCTTATAAGAACTGGAACACCTCTGCCTCTTTTTCCACGAATTTCCATTCGTTTGTTAGATCTCATTAGAATTCTCTCGGTTTCCGTTATTGCTTCCGAAAACTCCTTATAGGCTTGATTGTGTTCGTCAGATATAGCGGATTTGTAAACATTTATGGGAAGTCGTTGTAGTTTTCCAGGCCGCCTCCTCTTTAATGAAAGCATCCTACATTAAACTGTCTCCAGTCAAGACGTGCATGCTTTTTCATTACCTGAACTTTTTGTAGCACTGACACCTGATTTGCAGCTACTTTCATAAGATAATCCTTCAATAGTTTAAGATCACTAGCTAATGGAACCAATGTTTGCATTATCTACTGTTGGCAGTGACTCAGATTTTTTTCAAAACGTGTAAAAGAGCCACACCGCAACATTTTTTCAAGGTTGTACCCATGTTCATAGCATATGTCGGGGATCTATAAGCTTGGCTTTCATCATCATATCCTGATGTTAACTTAGTTGCTTTCACAAGTATGTCATATCTATGTGTTTTTATAGCAATCAATAGGGTAATCACAGACAAATCTAATTCCATTAGAAGTCAAGCCACTTCTCCCATTTTCCTAGAAACGACTTGGACAAATTGTAGTTCCCTGTGAAGTTTCAGATATCAGCAAGCATGCGCACATATTATCATCTTTTGCAACTTGAAACTTTGTCAGGTCTCATGCGATGAAATGCTTTTGCTTTGAGCTCATTATCTACCTTTATATTATTCAATAACAAAGTTTGTCCTAAAGTCTGTGATCGTTTGCCCGACGATCCCTTCTCCGGGTTTGCATCACATTGTTTGCGATGACGCCATAAGTTCTTGGCAAAATAGTAACCCATATAGTGGATGCATGATTCCGTTTTTCCACACCTTTTCTAACAGGTTTTACCCCCTCGACCTCCGAAGGCGATAAAATTATGATTTTTCCTTAGAGCAAAAAGCAGTTGTTGCCTTTTACGGATCAAAACAGGTAAATGTAGATATTCAAAAAAACGTTCAAAAAACTTCGTATTTGACGTTTCAGAGAATCCCGATCATTTTCAAAAACATTTTTGGAGGGATTAAAAACTCTTTCGTCTCTGGCCTTCTCTCACTTGCCAAACAACAAGCGACAAAGCTTATCTCTGAGCGAAGTTTTTACTGTAAAAATAGATTTTATTATACCTATTTGAAAAAATGGTGTCAAGTAGGTTGACTCTATACGTCCTACCCCTTAGAGACAGCTTTTAGTGCAATTTTCAATATAGTGCAATCGAGTCTATAAATTTGCTTTCAAAAATGACGGTTACAATCTGAATTTGAAGTTCAGTATAAAGGAGTGATTTTGATGCCCTTAAATATCACCTAAACCTTAGATATCATCTATAAGTAAAAACTTTGAATTCAAATTGTAACCACTATTTTTGACAGCAGATTAATAGATTCAATTGCACTATATTGGAAATTGCACTAAGAGCCATCTTGAAGGCGTAGGAAGTATAGAGTCAGCCTGCTTGATGCCATTTTTCCAAATAGGTATAATAAAATCTATTTTTACTGGAACAACTTGCTCAGGATAAGGTTCTCCGCTTATTGCTTGGCAAGTGAGAGAAGGCCAGAGACGAAAGAGGGAAATGTGGTTGAAAAACAATGGTCATTCCTTAGCATAGACGGCATGATATTTTATGAATTGATCAATGAAACAACATACAAAATTGAACGTCAATACTAACACTATTCACTGAACATTTCATTTGATACGCCTCCAATGATAAGTATAAGTACTGTCCACCTGTCGCGATGCTTATGCATTTATTGTATTTATATTTATTTTTCTTTTGAAAGGACGAGGAACTGGACAGGAGCGATGAGGCCAGAGACAACTTACATTCGGCAAGTGTCAAGAAGAATGTTACTATACATGCAAAAGCTGAATCAATTCCCACCGCAGAAATGTGATCAGTCTGCACCCAGTCAGTCTGGTTCTTCATCAGTGAATACTGGACTGTCAGGAAAGAAGAAAAAAGTTACAGTTTTCTGTTGTTTTTGTGAATGTGAGGTTTTTCATTTTCCACGTCATTTGAAAAGAAACCATACGAATGAAATTGAGGTACAAGAATTTCTAGCTTTACCTGTTTTAAGCCGTAAAAGGCAACAACTGCTTTTGCTCTAAGGAAAAAGGGTAAATTTATCAACTCTACGCCTTTGAGGGGAGAGGGGATAAAACCTGTTAGAAAAGGTGCGGAAAAAAACGGAATATCTTCCATGCATCCACTGTATGGGTTACTATTCTGCAAAGAACTTATGGCGTCATCGCAAACAATGTGATGCAAACCCGGAGAAGGGATCGTCGGGCAAACGATCACAGGCTTTAGGACAAACTCTGTTATTGGGTAATATAAAGGTAGATATTGAGCTCAAAGTAAAAGTATTTCCTCGCATGAGACCTGACAAAGTTTCATTGGTTGCGAAAAATGATAAATTAATATGTGCGTTTGCTTCCCGATATCTGAAACTCCATAGGGAGCTACATTTTGTCCAAGTCGTTTCTAGGAAAATGAGAGAATTGGCTCGACTTCTAATGGAGATAAAAAAATTAGATTTGTCTGTGGTTACCCTATTTGATGCTCTAAAACCACACAAATATGACATACTTGTGAAAGCAACTAAATTAACATCAGGATATGATGACGAAAGCCAAACTTATAAATCCCCCACATATGCTATGAACATGGGTACAACCTTAAAACAATGTTGCGATGTGGCTCTTTTACACGTTCTAAAAAAATCTAAGTCACTGCCAACAGTAGATAATGCAAACGTTGAGGCAGATATAAAAACATGCATCCAACTCATAGAGGCAAATTGGCGATTCGATATTTCAACCAATGCTGCTAATGACCTCAACCTAAAAAAATGGAATAAGGTCACTTTGGTACCGTTAGCTACTGATCTCAAACTATTGAAGGATTACCTCATGAAAGTAGCTGCAAATCAGGTATCAATGCTACAAAAAAATCCAAGCAATGAAAAAGCATACACGTCTTTACTCGAGACAGTTTATTGTAGGTTGCTTTTATTAAATAGGAGGCGGCCTGGAGAACTACAACGACTTCCCATACATGTTTACAAATCCGCTATATCTGAGGAACACAATCAAGCCTATGAGGAGTTTTCAGAAGCAATAACAGAAACCGAGAGAATTCTAATGAGATCTTTCAAACGAATAGTAATCCGTGGAAAAAGAGGCAGAGGTGTTCCAGTTCTTATAAGCAAGGATGTACAGGATCACTTGAATCTAATACTAGAGTGTAGAGATAATATTCAGACGGTGTCGAACATATATCTTTTCGGTAAACCTAACTCCCAAGAACCCATTATTGGTTACAAGGTAATCAAAAAGTATGCGTCGTTATGTCAAGCGAAAAATCCGCATGCTCTGACTAGCACCCGTCTGAGAAAGCACTTGGCAATCTTGACTCAATTGTTCAACATGTCAGAAAATGACATGGAACAACTCGCATCTTTTATGGGACATACACTAGGTATCCACCGTGCATCATACCGATTACCAGATGACGTCTACCAAACGGCTAGACTCTCCAAGATTTTGACGTTGATGGAGAAGGGCGAGGCAGGTCATTTCAAAGGAAAATCCCTGGACGAAATTATTTGAATCTAGACGAGAATTTGATATCAGAAGCGCAGCAGGATGATAACCACCCAGAGCCTCTATGCCAATATGAAGATATCCAAGAACCGCATCCAGATCCGGAATCTCAGCAAGTGGATATAACGTTACCAAAGAAAAAGTCCAGGGTTCTAGTTCCTTGGACTGAAGATCAGAAAATTTAGTCTTGGTTCACTTTGGAAATCACATTAAATCTAAGAGGGCCCCAAAAAAGGCTGAATGCGATAACCTCATCGCAAGTCATACTGAATTATTACATAATAAGGACTGGCTAAAAATCAAAGTTTTCATCCAGAACCAGTACCGAAAGAAAAAATGAATACCATCTCAATTTATGAGCGAACCCGTTTTTTTAATAAAGTAGAAATTAAGTATGAACATATGTATCACAACTAAGTATAAGCATTTTTAGTAGTTTCATTTGTCAATGTATAAATTCAGTTTTCTTCTTATGTATTTTCGTAAATAAAATTCATACCGATATTATTTGCGTTTATCCTTCGCTCCTATAACGCGTGGTTGTCAAAGCACAAAATGTTGAAAAATGTAGGTCATTGTCCGAAAGCGAAGTTTATGCAATTTTCTCTTCGTTTGTTGACCACTCTGCAACCACTGCAGCTAAAGCGAATTTTTTGTGATTACATTAATTCCCTGCCAATAGGCGCGGTAAGTAAAAGCATATTTTTAAATTGTAAAACTAGGATTAGCATATTTGTTTTATTTATTCTATAGGAAATTGGATTTGAGCATCACCTTTATCATATTTGAAGTGTTTTTTTTGTGAACATTTTTCCTTAATACTACACCATCCTTGATTTTCTATTCATGTGGTTGTATTTGCATAATGGTCTATCTATATTACCCTTTTTAATTTAGCTTGAGTAGCTTTACGCTAAAACTTTGCTCTTTGTTCATATAATCATGTATGTACACATCGTGACCCAATATTCCATGGACGTGAGATTACTAGTTTATTTTCAGACTGAGAACAAGTCGATTGCACATAAGTTATCTGTATCGAAGGTGCTTCGTTAGGGGGCATCAAAGTTTTCTTTTAAAAACACGTTTTCCAAGATATTTCAAAAAGCCGGTAGGTCGATTTTAATGAATTTGGAACACATATGCTCTGCTCAGCGTTCTAAGATTTGCCTTTTACGAAAAACTCCAGAGCTTTTTGGAAGGGTGAAAACTACCCCCCACCTACATAAATTGTAGCAGGAATTTTTCCCAACTTTCCTCATGACCGATTTTTTTATTTATTCAATCCTTTGTCTCTCATTAAAACGAGGATATCTTTCATAGTTTCGAGAAAAAAAACCTTTTTTGGGGCTGGTTTCTAAAAAATGTTTTAAACATCAAGCGTAAAAATCTAGTTGGCAAATAAACGAAGCACTTTTGCATAGAGGTGACTTATGTCAAATCGACTTGTATGAGTCTAAAACCTGATTGGAAAAACATTTTTTCCGAAAACTAGTAATAATAATCGTAATCAATATCATAATCACAACCATAATCGTAATCATAATTATATTAATAATGATAGTAATCGAACAAATATATTATTGCTTGCATTACGGTACTCTCGGTCACGGACGCCCCTATTATAATGCCTGACGGCGAACTGGGCCGCACCAGACATAGAAAAGGTGAAAAGCCGATCCTAACACAGCAAATATAATAAAATACCTAATACAGCGATGCCAATATTAAGGAGGATCTAAAAGCGATAATCTGGATACTGAATACCCGGCAGATGACCGATCCACTGTAGACCTGACTGGTAATATTTGATAATATACGGGCTGAATCCCAAAGCGATCGTGAGTCCACCAAATCGGCGCGGCAAAACCTGAACTACGGTACCCAAAATTCGGCGAAAAACATGATCTAGGTCATCCCTCTGAAATTTTGCCAGGTGACAGAGGGGGCCTGAGGGCCGATAGGTGGAATTTGCGATAGGTCCTCCTTATACGGAGGACCTATCAGAGCGGAGGACCTATCGACTCTAAAAAGCCCATGAGTGGAGGACCGATCCATCAGACGATACATCAGATCTATCATATACATATATATATATATATATATATCTATATATATATATATATATATATATATTCACGCTTTCCTGGATGTAATTAAACATCACGTTAATCCAAAAAACGTCTATTCAATATAGCAATATAAAAATAAATGAAAATAAATAACTTAACAAAGAGTTTCTCTTTAAAGAAAACGTACAACTTAAACTAAGTGAGATAAAAAACATATAATTGAAATTAAGTCAGCTCATTCCATGTAGTTAATATTGGAAATAATCGTCATAGGCAAGGTTAAACTGATCACATTCTATTGTATTTGCGTGATTTAAAATTTTATAAAGCTGATGTAACCGTTCATGAACCCAAACAAATAGTTTCTGTAGATTGTTCTTCTTCTTCTACAGATATTGGCTTATGCCAGGCCCTATGCATCCTAGGTACACAGCGTAGCCCACTTTATGTCGCGATGCTCTGTTGAAATCAACTTCTGAAAAATCCTTCTTTTTATAGTACAATATGCACCTGCATATCACATACCTAAGAAATAAGAGAATCCTCCCCCACTGTCACATGAGTACGTTCCACATATTTTTGAAAATTTTATGTAGCGTAAATTTGACGTAACTTCAGCACAGAATTTGGTCTAATTAAAAATTGTATAATACACCTGCTTATTAAACGACAGTTGAGGTTCTCCGATTGGCCCTTAGATAGATCTACCATTCTTTTAGATCTAGAAGACATGATGTTGGAAAACCAAATTTGTCTGACGGCTCGAGTTCAATGTATACGGGAGAGAAGTGTGTATCAGCACAAGTTAGAAAGTGATAGAAGTCGGTTGATAGAGCGAAGGTTATCATTACATTGCCCAACAACGGTGACGCAGAAGATCTTGGACTCTGCCCCGTTGTCAATATGTTATACCAGAAAATGTTCGCACGGGCTTGTACAATAGGTTAGGTTCCTGTCAAATCAAGAAGCAGTTCTGTTTGAACATTTAATTTAATATTTTATTTCCATTTTGATTAGAATTATTTATTTGAATTTTGATGCACCTTGTGTTTAATTCAGTTTAGAATTATCTTTTGATTTCCACTGATGGTGATAAAATCAACACATCAGCGAGCAGTCGCAATACATATTATCACTGCGTGTACGCAGGTTAAAACCATTTCAAAGCAGGCCGACACTCCCAATGAGGCATTGGGTGCTGACCAAAATCGCTCATCTATGACCATGTAGGTAGAAATCTTGCCTTGGAATGTACGAGATGCGTTGTTGGCAAGCGAACCACAGGTGCAATGTTGCAGAATTTGTGACGATCCTCACCATTGATTTCGACCTAAAATGAAACGCCGGTAATACCGATTCGGAATCGATCCTAAACAGGTTCAACACAATTCGAAATGCAAAAAATGTGTTGTCTCAAATTAAAACCATTACATATTTGGATGTAGAGAATAAACTAACGCGTATTTTCATTATGCATCTGAATTCAAGTAACTCGTTTAACATATTGGCAACGCGGCAGATTACCGCGTCGGCTTCTATCTCTTTCTAACATACAGGGTGTTCATTTGAAAACATCCCACCACGGATTTATCGAAAACCACTGATTAAAAGAAAAAACGCCGAGACACGTCAAAAGATTTGTCAACTGCTACAACTTTTTATCCAAAAACTACTTTGCTCCCTTTACCCTTGGCCCCACAGGGTCAGTCCCTTAACAATTTTTCGAAATCCTTTATTTTGACGTTTGATTTTCTTAAAATCAGTCGATTCGTTATCGAGAAATTTAGAAAAATCTTTATTTATCTTAATTTGTTCAGATAGAAAACAAAAACACACGAAAATAACACTTTTATTTCAATAAGTGTTAAAAATGTTGTCCGTTATGGTTTGCCAAATCTGCAATTCGTTTATAATATGAAACGGAAACTACCAACATAAACAGCAATTCGAAATATTAGACGTGGGAACAACCAAATAACAACCCGAATTTTCCATCAACACAGATCCTGGGCGAACTGTATTTGTTGTTATACCTGTTTAGTTATTTATTGCTAAGGGAAAGAAAGATTTTAATTTGCGGTCAGTTAACTTTGTCACAATCTTGGGGTAGTGAAAACTAATTTATTGATTCAGATTTCTCTGCCAAAATGGTTTACACACTAGTCGAAAGAGTGGAAATGATTCTAATTTATGGTGCCCAAAATCAATGTGCTCGGCAAACGGCCGTCACATTTAACGCCAGACATCTGAGGAAGATAACTTAGCATAGGTATGTTTTGTACCTTGTTACTAAATTTACTCAAACTGGATTTTTTGCAAATAATAAACGTGATCGTCGGAGAGCTTTGGATGAACCCGCTCGAGTTGAAGTTTTGGGTCATTTTGGAATAAGTAGTAATACTTCATTACGCAAAATTGTTGCTGCGACTCGTATTTCATTAGGCTCTGTACACTGTTACTAAACTCCATAAATTTCATCCATTCAAAATGGAAATATTGTAAGAGTTAACCGAAGATGATTTCGATAGGCGAGCTGAGTTTTGTGAACAAATGACTGCAGCAGTTAATGATATACCATTCATGTAAAGAATATCTTCAGTGATGAATGCACATTTTATCTAAATGGATTTGTTAATAAGCATAACTGCAGGTATTGGAGCAATGACAATCCTCCTTTTGTAGAAGGGTGCCAGTACCCCCAAAAAATCAATGTATGGGCAGGCATTTTAGGAAACAACGTGATTGGGGCATTGTTTATTAATGGAAATTTAAATGGATACATTTATTTGGATATGTTGGAAAATACCATCAACCCTCTTATCACTGAAACCATTGAAAACAAAATCGAAGAGGATAGAAACCCTATACTTGATGAGGTTGAAATATATTTCCAGCAAGACGGTGCTCTCCTCACTATGTCCTTTCGGTTCGGCAATGACTACACGACGAGTTTCCACATTAATGGATAGGGAGGAGAGGGCTATAGAATGGCCTGCTAGATCTCCTGATTTAACGCCAGTAGACTCTTTTTTATGGGGCCACTTGAAACCCATTGTGTTTACTACCTAACCTGAAAGTTTGGATGAACTTCGTCAACTCTGCTATGATGTCCTACAAGTTCTTGAAAATGTCCGTCAGGACTTTGAACATCGCCTATATCATTGTTTGATCAATAACGGGCATCATTTTGAATACTTATTGAAATAAAAGTAATATTTTCGTGTTTTTGTTTTCTATCTGAACAAATTTAGAAAAAGGTTTTTCAAATCAAACGTCAAAATAAAGGACTTCGAAAGACCTTTCAAACAAGCTCGATATCCCTTGTCATTTAAAATGTTTAAGGGGATGACCTTGGGGGGGGGGTCTAGAGGCTGAAAGGGGGTGAAGTAGTTTTTGATTAAAAAAATGTCCCCCCTTAACAAGTTGTTTGACGTGTCTCGGCGATCTTTTAAACAATGGTTTTTGATAAATCCGTGGTGGGAAGTTTGCAAATGAACACCCTCTATGAGTGTGTACACACTTCTCTCTCGTACATATTGAACTCAAGCTGTCAGACAAATTTGATTTTCACTGTATATCACGCACAGTTCTCACTTTGATAATTTTTCTGTATTTATGTCTATATTACATTTCTTTAAATATAAACTCTGTAAGGCAGATTATCACAAACGCAACTTGCACGGGATGTACATAACCTATGACACTGAAAATATAATGCGCGCCAAACTATGACCAGTGATTTGCACTAGACAGCCTGAGGACGACCTGATTTAAATATTTTTATTTGATATGTCCTTTACTAAATTTTGCATATATTCAAAGTAAAACGGGTTGAAGATTTTTATACGTTGTATGAATTTTTCCATACCTGTTTGACGTCCTATATTTGATAATTTTCTGGTTTCAGGTGACAGTAAAAGTGAAACCCGAAGACGTTCCGCTAAACCTTCGCGCCCATGACGTCACCACCCACTCGATGACACTTTCGTGGTCTCCTCCAATCAGACTGAACCCTGTGAAGTACAAAATCGCCTATGATGCCATCAAGGAGTTCGTCGATTCCCAGGGCATCACCCAAACGCAGATCATCCCCAAGTTGGAGATTGCGTTGAGTAGTGATGTGAGGTCGTACACAATCAATGAGTTGTCACCGTTCACGACGTACAGTGTCAATGTCAGTGCTGTGCCGGCTGATAATTCGTACTTGCCGCCTACTAAGGTGACGGTTACGACGCAGATGGCTGCTCCCCAGCCTATGGTAAGTCATGAATCTATAGAGTTTTTTGCTTTTCAGGAAATTAGGAAAAGTCAGGGAAGTAAAAGATGGTCAGTGTTTGTAAAAAATGTCAGTTAGCAGACAGTGCAGGGAAAATATCTTGTATGTTGCTTAGAAGTCAAACAATTCTCTCACTCTCGCAAAACTCGCGTGCATGTTTTTCGATTGACTCAAATGTCTCTATATAGTTTAAACGTTCAAATATAAAAAAAATCAATATTTTTACAAAATACATTCTTCAGAAATGACGTTTTATGTAGTGATCTGAGAAAGTTTGGAGGCATTAGGTTGATCAAATAAATCGGCCAATTTTCAAAACCCACACAGCTTTTTTCTCATTGGAATAACAGTAAACTTCTGACAAACCTTCATTCAAATCTGAGTAGTAGTTATATATAGGGTAAGAATTATTAAGTTTTACTTTAGAAGCAATAAAGCACGATTGGGCCACTCTGTAAAGCCAACGAAATAGAATTAATAAAAATCAGTTTTTGTTTACACGCTGAACACAAATCTGAAGTCCAAATTGGAGGCCAGTTGACAATGCTAGAGAAAACGCATAAAACGATCCAAAGCTCCAGAAAAAATAAAATAAGAGATGTGTGCTGGGTATCTCACTGCGTTTTCCATGTCTTTTTTCGCACTGAACATGAATCTGCAGTCAAAATTGGGGGAAGATTGATGAATATGAAAGTAATTTAGAGATAAGAATTAATTTTTTTTATTTTTGGTGGAGGAGCATCTCTCAGAGACCTCCGAAAATATGCACATTCGCAACAATTCCAAAATGTGTGATCTTAATGCCTGAATCACTCTTTATTTGTCCTCCAGTCCTAATTTTGACTTCAGATTCGTGTTCAGCGTAAAAAACTACATGGGAAAAACAGTGGCACGCACCACTTTTTTATTTTGTGGGCCTGTGTTATCATGAAAAAAGGCAGGTAATTAGAGTCATATGTTTTGAAACAGCAAACTGCAAAATGTCCAGAAGCCGAAAATATATGTTAAATAATATAATATTTAAGGTCCCATGAGTGTACGTAAGATTTCTACGATTAAGAGTGCCATAAAAAGTACCAACTGTTTTTTAGCCATATTTTTCACAGTGGATTCACTATGTCAACTTCCTTCAGTCCACCACTAGTTAAAACCAGTAAGAAGTCCTTTTCGATTTTGCTCTGAAATCATTATTTTTCAATATACGAGTATAACATAAAACGTGGGAAAAACTGCTTGCAAAAGCAAGTGCTTATTTTTCCCGTCTCTCACAATCTTATTTAGCAGTAAACCACCTGGAGTATATCGACAGTTCCCATACATTCCAGCGTTTCTAGATGAAACTGGATTCTTCTTCGATGCTGGTAGATGGTGGTCGATTTCTCTTGAAGCGTGCCCCGAACGCGAACGTTCTCCACTTACGGTCGCATGATTCTGGTTGCATAAGCGTTGACGTTGCGAGGGCGTCTCATCGATACCCCAAACTTCTAGTTTACGATGACACTACAATTTTGTGACCATCTCATTAGTTTTTTTTACTAATCACGTCTGAAAATATCAAAATTAAATTCTAGGTGAAACCAGACTTCTACGGCGTGGTGAACGGCGAAGAAATCCACGTGATTCTGCCGCAAGCATCTGAAGAATACGGACCAATTAGCCATTACTTCCTAGTGGTAGTGCCAGAAGACAAAAAGACAATCCAAAAGAACCCCGATCAATTTTAACCGACGAACTGATCACTAACGTAGATAAGGTTAAGGATAACTCCAACTTGCCTTACATTGCAGCCAAGTTTCCTCAGAGGAATATTCCATATACTTATCATTTAGGTAAGTGAAATATTTCATTAGAACTGGTGTTCTGTGCTTTCGCCCATATAAACAAAATGTTGAATACTGTTCGATTTGAAATAGTCCAGGAAAATTAGACTTTTCCTACGTTTTTTAAGCAGAAAGAGTCTTAATATTCCTGGGCTATTCCGAATCGAATTCAGAAGACAAGCTAAGGAAAGTTTTATCTTAATGTTTTGTAAAAAAAGCTTGACACTCTTGGTGTCTTGGTAATCCGGTTGCATTGAAATGTTTGATGAAAAAGGATGTTCAAAACATTGAACAAATGTCGATATTTCAGTTAACGTAAAAGCTTTGTACAGGGGGACCAACTAAGAATGCGAGGTACTGTATCTGGGAACCTATCTATCGTAGAGGTTTGCGTAGTTATTACTAAAACAACCAAGAGAAAAACCTGGAAAATATTTTCATGTTTCTGAAGTGGCCACTAGGGGGCGTAACTGCAATCTTGAATCTAAAAAAGTGTTGTTTCTGTGAATTCCGCTATAATAACCTAACAAAAAAATACCTGATCTTTAAATTCGATTATAATCTGAAAACGTTTGTTTGACAATGTTTGCTGTATCTTTAAAAATAAAGTGGTGGGCGGTTTCCGTAAAAAACATCATCCTGTATCTTCGAAATGGCTGAGCCGATTTTAAGAAACTTGGGCTAGTTGAAAACAGCTATTTTTGGGCTATAAATGTTAGAATAATTGTTTGTTTTGTTAGTTTCACATGTGGCCGCTAGAGGGCTTTTTTCGACATTTCGACAGAAATGGTTATCCTTCCCAAAAAAAATTAAATGCATTAGTATGATTTTAATTTCACGGAAAATTAGCTAAATGATGTCTAAACAAGCTCGCGAAAACCGCATCTCGATATCGTACTACCAACCTAAATTTAGGCAAAAGAAATTTTTTTTCGGAAATCCTTTATTTTTATTTTCTTAAACTATTTTTTCTGAAATTTCTTTTATTATTAAGTTGCAGCCCTAAAAAGGACCGATTTAAAAAATAAAGGTTTTTAATGCCCCGGAAATGCTCCAAATGCCGACCATCACACTATATGCACTCATGAAGCCTCTCGTGGGTAGACAAAACTGCAGCTTTAATTTCGGCTCTCAGTATATTGTATTGCATTACGACTCCGGTTTTTCTTATCTACTCTGGTTGTAGGTATAGTCTGAAACACGATGTCCTTTAACCGTCCCTATAAATAAAAATCAAGACAAGTCTGGTGATCGCGAAGGCCATGAAAACATACTTCCTCTTCCAATCCATCGCTGTTGAAATACTCCAGTAATATGCTCTCGCACAATGATATCAAAATATGCTGGGTAACCATCCAACTGCAAAAAGTTTTGCCGTGTTTCCAGTGGTACATCTTTCCAACAACAACGGTAATTGGGCTCGAAAAAATATGGCCCAATAAGTCTGCCTCACACATTTGAACTCCAACGCCCCTGATGCTGAACTTCACGCAACCAATGCAGATTTTCTGCAGACCAATAATGCATATTGTGCAGATTGACTCTCCTGTCACTATTGAAGGTGGCTTATCGGTCAAAAAAATTTGAAATAAAAATTCTCTATTTTCGCGTATCATGCCTAACATCCAATGGCAATAGTCCAATCTCCGATCAAAGTCATCCTTTTTCAAGGCCTGATTCAAAACGACACGATATGGGTGCATGCTAAGAGTAATTAAAAAAAAGTTAAATTTAAATAAATCCCTATATTTTGATGGCCTTTAGAACTTACGTATGGTGCTTCAAAATATTTTGAAGCGTTGTCGTGATATGCCCAACTTAAGGGATAATGCCCTTGTGCTAACATGAAGAGGTACGCGGTTAATATTTTCTTGTGTTCTTCCAATTCTTTGCCGTTGAAACTTCGGCCGAAAACTACCATTGACTCGTAAGCTCGCCACTAAAAAAAATAGTATCACATTGCAAGGACGCCGATTTGGATATCGAGTCGCGTAAATTTTTTTGCGGCATTCTGAAGACATTCAAAACTAAACTGCAAGAATATCAACAGCTTCATCGTTCGTAAAACGCATTTGGTAAGCACAAAAATTGATCAAAGTAACGCGAACTATTGACAACTGTTGACAATTTGAGGATTATTTATGTTTTGATTAGCTATTTGTTTTGTTATATTCCACGGCCTGTTTCTATTAATTGTCTTTTTCGTATATACCCATAGTGAATATCCATTTAAACAAAAAAATGCCTTTTGTTATTAGTATTACTTAGTTTTTTAGCGATATTTTGTAATATTTTCAAAAAGGGTGATTTTACTGTGATGAATAAAAAAAATTCCAGAAAAATTAGTTTAAAAAAATAAAAATCTATGGGATATTCTGTATAAAATTTTTCTTTGGCCTAAATTTTAGGCTAAGAACTAGATATTGAAATGCGGTTTTCGCGAGCTTGCTTAGACATTATTTAGATACTTTTCATAAAAAAATCATACCAATGCATTTAATTTTGTTTGAGAAAATTAAGCATTCTGTCGGAATGTCGAAAAAAGCCCTCTAGCGGTCACATATGAAACTAACCAAAACTTCAAATATTGTAACATTTGTAGCCCACGAACAGCTCTTTTCAACTAGCTCATGTTTGTTGAAATCGAATTTTGTACGGAAAGTTTTGAATAACCTCCACCACTTTATTTTTAGAGATACATAAGAAATTTTCAACAAAAAAGTTCACATTATCCACGACTTTAAAGACTAGGTATTTTTTGTTAGGGTTAATATAGCATTGTTCACAGAAACAATCACTTTTTTTAGATTCAAGATTGCAGTAAGCCTCATAGCGGTCATTTTTACAAACTTGAACATATTTTCCCAGGTTTTCTCTTCTCTCGGCTGTTTTAGTGAGACTTTTTTTGCCGCAAGCCTCTAAGATGGATAGATTTCCAGATACCGTACCTCATATACTTAGTTGGGCCACACTGTACATACAGTGCGAGTTTTTACTGTAATCCGTTATTACGTATGCTATCTAAGAAAGTTATTTACTGAAATGGTAGCCAACAGAGCGCTCCTTGCTTCGAAAATATTTTTATCTCAGAGTGATTCATACTATTTAGTGATTCAAACATGCCACAATTTCATAATGGAAGGGTAAACATTTTATTGTAGATTGGATAGGACTTTCAAACGAAGCTATTTTATTTTAACCTACTATAGGGACCTCAAATTGTTGAGATATGGACAAACTGTCGAAACTTTGAAAACTCATGCATCCCCAACTGTTATAGCTAGAATCTGAATTTCTGTCATAAATATTTCATGATCCCCTATTGTGTTCCTAACAGTTATTGGCAGTTTATATGATATAGTTTCACATTTCTTGATTCCCACTTCTACAAGCTGATCTTTAATATGTGTATGGAGGATTGTATGACTGGTTTCTAGTTACTGCTAATCCTTTTATAAATCGGGTGTCAAGATACAATGAAAAATAGACATTACCTATCAAATAAAAGAATAACTCTCAGTTGGTAATGGGTGATATTTAGAATTGATGTATTGTCCATATAAAGTAATCTACTCCAAGCCTCATGCAATAAAGTCGAAAGGTCAAGAAGGTGTCAGTCAGTTTTTTGTAACTCAAAAACCATCCGTACAGTCCCCGTAAAACCGTATTGTGAATTAATGAACGTGTAATTACTAGGAATTATGATAAATTTCCGAGTATTACGATCAGTTATTAAGGAATGTTGATGCTTGAAGAGAGGATTTCTTGAAACTGGATAAGTTATTGGGACTTACTAGGAATTTTTGGGGAAATATTCCGTTATTATATGGATATTGGCAGCGATTGATCCTTTGGCTGTCTCCTTTGTTAGAAAAAGAGAAATCGATCTAGCTCCCTTCTAACACAGTTTTCCATCCAGGTACTGGAGAAGTGAATGACGGTTTTATAAACCACAAACTACAACACGGCAAAAGGTACCGAATTTTCGTTCGAGCTGTAGTAGATACGCCTCAGAAACATTTATACACCAGCAGTCCATTTTCTGAGTTCCTGTCGCTGGATATGCGAGAAGTACCACCTGGAGAACCACCATCCAGGCCGGATCCTAATACGCCATCTGTCGATGTTAGCAAGGTAAATAAAAAACTTTATGATGTCTCATAAAGGTGTGTGCTAATGGTTACAGCAGGCCCCTAGAGGCCAAATAGAACATGACATGTAATATAATTTTGAAAAAATGCACTTTTGTTTGAAATTGATATGACGGTACTTTTGGAAGAAGTATAACTATTAAAAATTTTTAGAATATTTTCGGCAGATTTCGCATTCAACCCGTTAGTTCGGTGGATGAATGGAATTCGAATAGATCAGGAGTTAAGCTTATATGTTTACATTGCGCTGTTTATCGCCAAAATTGGCTTAGTCTTATTGCACCAAAGTGGCAGCGTTCCATGAACATAATCATAATCCTTACAGCGGCAAGATCTACCTTCATTAGGCTTGCGCCGCTCTTTACATATATGTAAGGAATGCGATGTCTTGAAATGTCTAACTTCACAATGTCTGAAACACTCGCACTAAAATAGGACTAAATATACGAATTGAATGACAGAAATGTAAAAAATTTACTTACGGAAGTGCACTTTGATCCCCTAATAGACGATGAAAATTAGAAGACAAGTCAGATCCGTTGACTGGCTCCTTCGACCTAGTCTGAATTTGTTGGGTAGAATAGTACTAAAATCGGTAGATCTGTCGAACAATAATTGGTAGACCTCTGGTACACTGCCTTAGGGGGCAATATTTCTAATCTCGAAAATAAAAATGTGTGTTCGTAAATAAAGGACTTATTAATCTATGAGGATATATAATATACAAAATCTACAATGGGCTTCTCAAACTGAAGTATCTATCAGATTTATCAACCACTGTCGTGTGGGTATCATGTTTGATTTTCTAGACTTAGATATAACATTTAATGCATTAGTGGTCATGCCATTTTCCATTTATTTTTCAAGAATTTTTAAACACTCCCTCCAACCTTTTGTTATGCTAAAATATTATTAATAATCAGCATTGAAAACAATATAAAACTATTCTTTTTTTGTATTCAGAGGAAAGCAAGGCACATGCTTTATTGAGGTATTTTTGTCTGCAACAATCATTCTTATATCAAAAGACATTGCTTCCTACAAGTTTAGATACTCAATCCCGTGTCATAACCTCATCTGTCATGCCCTAAGTTCGATTTTGTAATTGTGATACATAGACTCAGTAACAAAGAAATAGAACACTCAGTAAAAATGTCTTTGTTGTCATAGATGCATCTGAATTATATATTCTATATTTGCTGTACGAGGAGTGTTCAGAAAATAAATGGATTTTTTTAGCTCGCGGGTTTGGAGAGTCCGATTGTCAAAACATTTTTTTATTTTGTTGGTATAATGTCCCTGAAGTATGGTAAAATTTCAGGCGTATTCATTGTTTACTTTGTCTTTTGGTTTGTTACAAAAATGAATCAAAGAATGTGTATCAAATTTTGCGTAAAAAAATTGTAAAAGGTGTGTGAAATGTTAACAAAGGTCTGTGGTGGGTCTGTTATGGGTAAAACATGAATTTACTCGTGGTATAAGCGTTTCCAATATGAAGACGTTGAAGATAACAAAACGCCCCGGACGCCCAGCTCAATAAACCGATGAAAACGTGAAAATAGTGAAAGAAATAGACTATCGCCGAATCACCATCAGATAAGTCGCTGATGGCAAATCGATTGGTACACTCCATGAAATAATTTTGTCGATTGATTTGGGTAATTTTGAACAATAACAGCGGCGAATGGAAGTTGCTCAGGAGTCACCAAATGAAGTCAAACGACGATACAGAAATTCTGAATAATGCCTTATACGTGTAAGACGTCGGAACTAAGCCTCAATCGTCCTAGTGGAGGCATTTTGGCTGTGATTCTAATCGCACAGTGCATCATGAATTCTTGCCATGAGATCAAACGGCTAATACAGAGTACTGCCTACAAGTTCAACGTCGTTTGCGTGAGAGCAATCCGTAAAAAAGTGGACAATTCCTGGCTTTTGCGCCACGATAATGTAACTGCTCACACGTCATTGCTTGTTTTTGGTCAAAACAATACTTTAACGATGTCCCAGCATCCATATTCGTTATATATAGCTCAGTGTGACTTTTCCTATTTCAAAAAATAAAGATAATCTTAAAGTGGCTTCGTTTACAGGCTTAGGTGACATCAAAAGCGTATCGCTGAAAGCGTTGGACACTATCTCAAAGATCGGAGTTTGAAAAGTGTTTCGAGGATTGGCATGATATCTATTTTGAAGGCGACAACATAAATGTAGATGAATAAATACATATTTTCATGAACACGCCTCGTATATAACAGTTAACTACTCATAAAAAGCGAGTGTAAGACTGAATGTGGGAAACTCGTACCAATAATTTTTGTAATCTAATTTTCATTCTCAAATTTTAGGTGAGCTCCAGAAGAAAGACGCAGGCGTCTTTGGATAATATGGTACCCATAATAGCAGCGCCTTCTGTTATCGATAATTTTAGTGATATTGTTCATACTGCGTAAGCGAAGACAACCATGTAAGACGCCTGATCAGACAGCTGTTACCCGTCCTTTGATTCAAGCGGATCTCAATAGCAGTATTGCTCCTAGCGATCCGGTTGAGATTAGAAGGTTAGTTTTTTTTTTTTTGTACATAAGTATGAGAAAAGGCTCATTCAAGTTGAAAATGAAATAAGTGAAATTAATCTTTGGCTCTACTGGCTACATGCTCTGTTGTCAATTTTTCCATTTTCCATAAATATTAATTTTGCGTAAAGGTGTTGGAATTTTGTTGATGCAGTATTGGGTTTCCATCTCCAATTCAAGAGTGTCTACGAGTTTCTTTCTGAGTAAGTTGTATAATGTTTGTGCATGACCTGTGGTTTCACCAAGACGATGCTACACATGCCAAACAGCCAGTGAAACAATTGATTTGCTGAATGAAATCTTCCTTTTCGTTTCGGTGATTAGGGCAGGCATCCTACCAAAAAGCCAGATAATCCAAAATAGTATAAAAATAAAGCAACATGTATAGTAGTACTTGAAAATTTCCACTTGGAAATGTTTACCAAGTATCTTTTGTTTGTCCATTTTTTCCATGTTGGAAGTCAAGAATGCTTATCGTGGTGGTTTCAGCAATGTCTCTTTGGACTTCCTATTTTTCGTTTATGTTACTATGTGAATTCCTCATCTAGCTTACCTCTTGCAGCTAAGGCTGCCATCTCTGGTATGGCCTCAATCTTATTATTACCGCTGTTTGATGAATCTTATTTTCTATCGTAATTCTAATCCCCCAGTTAAAAAAAGCAAGGTCCGACAAAAAGTCAATCATACACGTATATCAATATAAAATGTAACAACTATGGCAGTCGTTTATATACAGGGTGTTAATTATGTACCATAAATTAAACACGATTTTTTGAGGAATTTTAAGACAAAAAATTCATATAATAAATAAGGGAGGCCCAGATACAGGGTGTTAAAATAAAAAAAGGCTTTTCGTAATATACTGAATATACCTAATTATGTTGTAATTTGGCCGAGGTGTTTATAACATTAAGGAGCTAATTTAGCTCTAAGTTGATTAAATTTATTAAGCCCAGTGGTGTCTGACTTTAGTGCAATTTTTTTATGTTCATTGGGTTAAGCGAACAGAAATACAACTTTTTTTTTCTCTTGCATTTTTCCGTATCTTGCTTAGTTTTCGTGAAAAAGAAGTCCACTTAACTGCATATCCGTGGACCAAATTTTCTTTTGGAAATTATTTTTTTATAATTTTATATTACTAATTATGTAATAGCAACAAATAAACACTAAATTAATTTACATTAACATCTAAACTAATGAATAGTAAATAATAAAGGGAATGCCTTGGGAAACGATTGCAGCATTTAGTAAACAACTTGACAGTCGCCAACTTAGAATTTATAAACTATTGATTTATAATTTTTATAAAAAGTGTTTTTAGTGCTTATTTTTCGTCCAATATGGTTCAATTCACTAATAGTGAAATAGCATTTCTGTTATGGAATGGCTCAAGGAAACTCTATTGCTGCAAGACGCATTTACCATGAAAGACTTCTTCAGCGTGTAGTGCCTAGTAAAAGAACATTTATACTCCTACGTCTCCATGCACGACTTTCTGAAACAGGCAGCTTTATAAAAGGTCGACGGTTGTCATCGAGAAGCCTGCAACGGTAAGAACAGTTCAAATTGAAGAAGCCGTTTTAAAAGAAATTGAAGCCATATCCTCATACCAGTACTCGGAAAATAACTGAAGAACTGAATATTACCCATGTCACAGTGTGGCAGATTTTAAGAGGCCAGCAGCTATATCCATATCATACACAACGTGTGCAAGCTCTATTGCTCAGACATTTGCCGTCAAGACTAGCTTTTCTGACTGGTTTCGCAGTAAAATGATAAGGAATCCAGGTTTTCTAAGTCGAATATTGTTTACAGATGAAGCTTTTTTTCTCGCAATTCAATTAATAACTTCCACAATAGTCACATTTGGGCCGAAAACAATCCACATCCTTCAACAGAACATACTTTTTCAGAACAGTTTTCTTTTAATCAAGTGTTTTTTCCAAAGTGCTAGTTTTGAACCATTCAATATAATAATTGTTTTTTTATCTTATGGCATATGGTAGCATACCACATAAGTTTAAATTTGAGGAAATAAGTTGGCGCTTTATAGTTTATAATTTTATATAATTTAATCTTTTCGATGATTTCCTGCACTATAAAAAAATTGTCGCATGACTTCGATTGGTGTGTGCTTACTGCAATTTAATAGTATCCTCACTGACAGGAAATTAATAATGATGACCAATAATTTTTCTCTAGCATTTGCCAGTGTTGAAGTTTAATTACTCTGCATTGTAGGGGAGAAAAAGTGATTATGTTGATGTACTTTATTTTGAAATCATATGTCCAATGAAGACAGGTAAAAATAAGCAGCAGCTATATCTATATCATATACAACGTTTGCAAGCTCAATTGCTCAGAAATTTGCTTTGAAGACTAGCTTTTCTGACTGGCTTCGCAGTAAAATGATAAGAAATCCAGGTTTTCTAATTTGAATATTGTTTACAGATGAAGCTTGTTGTTCTTGCAATTCAACTATTAACTTCCACAACATGCACATTTGGGCCGAAAACAATCCACATGCCTGAATAGAACAATACTTTTTAAGAACATTTTTCTTATATTAATATATGGGTTGGAATTGTCGGTGACCATTTCATTGGGCCTCATTTTCTTCCACCTAGGCCCACACCTACATTATTTTCTCTAGAGACACCTTAAGGCGTTGTATACAAAACTCCCGTTGGATTATTTTATGGAATAGAAACATTAATTCATGTGACATAATAAAAAAATACGCCAGGTATTTTCAGGAGATTGCGTAATTCAATGATGATGCGGTTAGACGGTTGTATTGGGCCATTTCCACCACTGGATTTATCGAAATTTGTTAGTCTAGATGTTATTATTATTTAGTATTTGTAGTTGTTGTTACATAATTAGAAATAAAAAATTATAAAAAAATTATATTTTCCAAAATAAACTTTTCCCCATATTCCTTGTGTGGTCCAGAGATATGCAATTAAGTTGATATCTTTTTTCTCGAAAACTGAGCAGGATACGAACAAAATTCAAGAAACAAAAAAGTTGTATTTCTATTTGCTTAATCCAAAGAACATAATAAAAATCGCACAAAAGTCAGCGGCGTACATTTTTGCCACAAATATTTGTTCAGATCCCGCTCGAGGCGCCACTGGGCTTAATAAATTTAATCAAATTAGAGCAAAAGTAGCTCCTTAATGTTATAAACACCGCGGCTAAAGTACAACAAAATTAGGTGAAGGATTTAAGAACTTTACGAAAAAACATTTTTTTTTTTAATTTTTACACCCTGTATCTTGATAACGAAGAATTTGCGGACCTATGTTAATATAAACTTTTTGTCTTAAAATTACTCAAAGAATCGTCTGTTGAATTTATGGTACATACTGAATTAACACCCTGTATCAGACCACACTTGAACTTTTTGCTGTTTCAATGAGGTATAGTAATACCATACTCATAATCAAATCTGCTATAATTTTCAATTTTTAGGTTGAACTTTCAAACTCCCGCGATGATCTCGCATCCACCTATCCCGATCTCCGAACTAGCAGCTCACATCGAACAGCTGAAAGCGAACGACAATCTCAAATTTTCTCAAGAATACGAGAGCATCGAACCCGGCCAAACGTTCACTTGGGACCATTCAAATATGGATGTGAACAAACCAAAGAACAGATATGCGAATGTTATAGCGTACGATCATAGTCGAGTGATACTGCCTAGCGAGAATGGGGTGCTAGGCACGGATTATATAAATGCGAATTATTGTGATGGATATAGGAAACATAATGCGTATGTGGCTACCCAGGGACCTTTGCAGGTGAGATCCCTTTTTTGTAAACAAGTGTCAAGTTTTAGAACTAAGTTACTTTTTGTTTGAAAATCATGTAGAACTAGCTCAAGTGGCATTTTTGTTATTTTTTGTTTTACTTCCTATGCCAGTTGCCAAGAAAGTTTTGTAATTCTTTTCAAAATCAAACAATATTTTGGGATATTTAATGAAATGTACATCACGGAACGTGACAGCAGAGATACGGCCAAAAAAACGCTTTTTGACGTTTTAGAAAATGTTTATTATTCTTGAAAATCTTTTGACTGCTTTTTAAAGGATTGGAACTGAAGAGTTGCAAGGAGCTGGACACGGCATGTCTAATTTCTTCCATAAAAACGGTGTTTATTTAGTTGTAAGCTACAATATTACATGAACAGGAAGATAAAAATCACAGATCACTTGGAACTAAAGTATAAAGTATTTAATTTCCTCTTAAATTTTGTTATATTTTGGTATTTCTAGTGGTAAACCATTATAAGTTCTTAAACCTTGAACACAAAGTGTTTTTCCGAAGTAATAGTTTTGAACCGTTCAATATAATAATTGTCTTTTGATAAGTTTAAATTTGAGGAAATAAGTTGGAGCTTTATAGTTTATAATTTTATATAATCTAATCTTTTCAATGACTTCCTGCTATATTAAAAAAATAAATTTTGTCGCATGACTTCGATTGGCGTGGGCTTACTGCAATTTAATAGTATGTATTTCGATACAGCTATTTAACGATTGAGCCTCTGATTATCATCTACTGAACAGGAAATTAGTGATGAAGTGCAATAATAATTGAAATGTGGATTTATTATTGTGTTATAAATTATTTTTTTACACGTTAAACATATTGCACACATAGATTTTTCTCTTGCATTTGCCAGAGTGGAAATTTAATATTCTGCATTGTAGGGGAGGAAAAGTGATTATGTTGGTGTACTTTATTCTGAAATCATATGTCCAATGAAGACAGGTAAAAATAATAACGATTTTGGGAAAAATCGTTATTTCTCGAACACTCTCGCTTAGATGCTGGGTAACTGTTGTTTCCTACTGTTGTACATAGGGGTCGATAGTAACGCGATTGGCGAATTCCTGAATCTATACGCATCCTGGCGGCCACAATGTACCTTAAAAAGAGAGAAACGTTTATTCACGTTAATCAAATCCAATCGAATAACCAAAATGTCTGTGTTATTTGCCGCGGTTATAACGTGGTTTAAGATGCCACACGAGTTGACGTCAGTTACTAAAATCGATTGGATGCGTTGGTTTTAACCGTGGTTTTGTTGCAAGTTATTTAGTTTAGAAAAGTGCTTATATAATTTCAGATTATTTTTATTATTACTTAATAATTGGTGCTGTTTCGACTACAACAGAGATATGGAAAGGTTAAAATAGATTCGTAATACTTCAACAATTTGGTGTGAATCACTGTATGCCGGTACTCGATTTGATACAGAACGATGGAAAATTTACTCCCATTTGGCCATGTTTGTTGACAAGCATCAGCGCCAACATCGGTACTGAAAATCGCCAATAGGCGAAACTATATATTAATAGGTGGTAGTATCACTTTTATTTTTCTAACCCAGTATATCGCCAGTTGGATGTTGTAGCTTCTTCGTATGACTTTTTGAGTCGAAAAAATTGATGAAAGGTGAAATTTGTCGCGTCACGTTTAAAAACCTGTCGATCTTGGCGAAAAATTAATGTACTGAGATGAAAAAAAAAAAAGAGAATTACTGACTTTTTATTTACCATCTCAGTTCCAAAAATATTTTCGTTATACCTCAGTCTACTGTCATTTTCTCGTTTTTAGGAAACCTTTGCCGACTTTTGGCGCATGTGCTGGGAGTTAAAATCCTCCACGATTGTAATGATGACCAAACTGGAAGAACGCACCCGCATCAAATGTGATCAATACTGGCCAACACGTGGTTCGGAAACCTACGGCGCGATGAGCGTGACCATCACTGATGTCCAGGAGTTGGCTACATACTGTATCAGGACCTTCCAGATCCATAAGGAAGGCCACAGTGAAAGGAGGGAAGTTAAACAGTTGCAGTTCACGGCGTGGCCCGATCACGGAGTGCCTGATCATCCGGCACCTTTCTTACAATTTCTGAGGAGGGTCAGGAGTTTGAATCCGCCTGAGGCAGGGCCGATTATCGTGCATTGTTCGGCCGGTGTTGGAAGGACAGGTTTGCATTTTTTTTTATTTTTGACTTTGTACTATTATAAGTCGTATTTGTACTTTAACAGCTTTGGAGAAACTTAAAAAAGTGTTTTGGCTGAAAAAAAATGAGGCTTATTGACCATTCTCCTGTTTTATGAGAAACTTTGTAAGGTAAAATATAATAGGCATGTTTGCTTTCCGTCTCTGTAATCGTGACCAACCGCAGACAGCGCTGTTTCGTGCTCGTTATCAACTCGTCAGTGTAGTGCAGGTTTAGTTTTGCAAACGCAGTGGGTGTGATCTTTGGTAGCCACTGTGTTTGCTTCCTATTCGTTTGTCTACACGACTAGACCTATACCGCACTATCAGTTACGAATGAGCACAAAACAGCGCTGAAAACAGAGACACAAAGCAAACATGTGCATTTTATTCTGTATTTGCTAAGTATTCCAACTCCTTGATTTCTCGATCATAAGAAGCTGTTCAAGTATTATGTAGTAAGCAGCTTTCTTACAATTTTTAACCCCTTCCATGCTTACGTGTTGGTAAATAGTTTTCAATTTGTCCTGATTTCTTTATTGGTCATGAGCAGCAATTCTCAAGAATAGAAATGAGGAAAAGCGTTAGGATATAGGAATTTAAAGCACATATTTATTCCAGCAAATTATTATTGACATGGTAATTCAATTATTATAATCTTAATATATTCACGTTAAACACGTTAATTTGTTTTGTTCTTTTAATATTTTTGCACATGCATCCTTGGCTCTAAAATTCTTCAATGGCATTGGATATTTGCTGCTCGATGTTGCGTGCCATTTTCGAATATCGACATCGTTCTCTTTGAGCCAGGCATAAAAGTCGACTAAATATTGTAGATAATCCGAAAAGTACAAAAAAAATTAATATACCTAACATCACCTTCATGGTATAGGAAGGGGATGCACATTAGGTTGACAAACCAAGGTGACTAATCGTCAGATTTTCACCTACTTGCATCTTTTTATGTCTCCCGTTGTTGCAATCAAATGAATCTTAGTACATTTGGGTAATTTGAGGTGTTAAATTCAAATTCGTGAAACGACGTGGGGATGAGTTGAAGGTAAAAATGAGGCGACTAGGGTATCCAGAGGGTTAAAGAGACTAATAGCCGTCATATACTAAATCTATGCGCGCAATTTACCTTGTATATGAGCTTTCGCTAAAGTAAATTTTTCTCCTAGGAAAAATCAAAATATGGGATTCTGTAAGGGGAAAAATCCATTTTAGGACGAACTAAGGCAAAGCGTTTCGAACACGAAACATAAAGCAGTTTTATTAAATGAAAACTATATTATAAAACGGATTATATGTACGCAGGGACTTCCCCATACAGAACGTTCACATTTTTGTGGGGCATCATCGCTTCGTCAACAGATCAAAGTACATTTCGGACTAGAGATTCGTTTGACATTTTTTGAGCTGATACCGAGTGCTTCAAACTCGATTCTTACTGTTGGGATCTCGGAAACTGTAAGAGATACTGAATCTCATGTGGCTGAGGTTGCGTATTTAGGTAACTAACAAAATGCTGCCTAGAAACTTTCGGTATTCAAAGTACTTCCGGAGAAAGATGAAATTTTTCACAAAATCGGTTTAATTTTCTCCTGACTTTATTTGTAGTGAGATTTTAAAATACTTTTATGATTAACATTGCCACCTTTACTCCTCTACAAGATGACATAACTATAATTTCAATAGAACGCTTTGTCTCCTGTCCACCAGCATCAACTTTATTTTTTATTATGGACGCCATATTGGATTTGTGCACAGATGAATAGAGTTTTTAATTGCCAAACTTAGTTATTTTGTAAAAAGCAGAACTTTCTAGGTAGGCCTTGAAATTATCAGATGGTCATTTGTTTCACATTCCAGAATGATCCTAGCATCATTTATATTTTTTCCTGACTTCATTTGAGATTGGATTTCAAAATAAATTACATGTAAATTTTCACTTCGACATTTCTTCTTTCGACTTCCCTCGCCAACTTTGTTTTTTATATTGACCCTATGTTTTTTTATTTAAATGGTCTTTTCAGTTCTAAATTCAGTGATGTATTTCCTTAGCTGGCCATGAATTTATTGTTGGATGTAAATTATAAATAAATAAAAAGGTATGGTGAAACCTAAACACAGAATGAAAATTTTATTGATGGTCATAACAATAATAATCATAAATAAACAGAAATAAATCATAGCAGATGCTCTAAATGTGCGGTATTTTGAAGGCAAAGCCTGACTCTTCTTTGTACATTGCTAGACTTATTTCTCTTCATCTTAGTCTTCAAAACCCTGGTCTGGTATCTGAAACAAATTATTATTTCATAATTTCAATGTCTACCTAGGAACTTCCGTTTTTCTAGAATAAGTAAGGTTTGGCTATGTCAATGTATGACTTTTGTAAAGCATGATTAAAAACTATCCAGCTGGGCAAAAACCCAGTATAACGTCCTTAAGAAATGTCATTGTTAATGTGCAATTTATTTAGAAATCCCACTACAAATAAAACCAGGAAAAAAATTAAAACCATTTTGAGAAAATTCGGTTTTATCTGTCTCTGTACTTTTAGTCTCGAAACTTTCTAAGCAGCATTTTGTCAGATACCTAAATACGCTCCCATTCAAGCGACTTCGTATTTTTTATTATATTGCGTGAACAACAAGCTCATTAGAGTACCCTAAAAAAAAATTTGTATAATCCTTATTGTGTGTCTAGGTTGTTTCATCGTGATCGACTCGATGTTGGAGCGCATGCGTCACGAAAAGACGGTGGACATTTACGGCCACGTGACATGCCTGCGCGCGCAACGCAACTATATGGTGCAGACGGAAGATCAGTACATCTTCATACATGATTCATTGTTAGAGGCGTACGTGTGTGGACAAACTGAAGTGCCGGCAAGGAACCTGCACGCGCATATACAGAGGTGAGTTCGATGCAGATTTAAGATCTTTCTCTACTAACATCGTATCGTATCTAATAAGCTGGGAATTAACTGAGTTTGATGCCATTTTCGCACCAAGACACAATAATTTGCAGGATGTTTTTTAATGATAGGCCGTAATTACAAGGGCGCATTTCTAAACCAAATTTTAAGTAGAACAGTTCATATAAACTTGTGTCTTAAAAAGCCTGGTTTTCAAAGTGAAAAAAAATGTTCTTTTATTTATACCCTAAAGATCCTTGTGTCGATTATGTTGAATTTTGGCAGTATTGTTCATTACAACAAGACATAATGTTAGCACTAATTGAACGATAATTATGAATTCCAGTAGGACCTCGGGGGTTAGTCTCACGAATGATATTGACAAATGTACGCCTCTGTCTTTAAGAAAAATATACTCTGAGAACCAAATTTGTCTGACGGCTTGAGATCAATGTGTACGAGAGAGAAGAGTGTTTAGTCACATATGTTAGAAAGAGATAGAAGCCGCCAGAATATCGAAGCTCATCACCGCGTTGCCTAACAAAACTGACGCGGTAATCTGCCGCGTTGCCAATATCTGACACCAGTTCCTTGAATTAAGATGAATGTTGAAAATATGCGTTAGTTTATTCTTTATATCCAAATGATGGTTCTGTTTTGAGTATACACATTTTTGAATTGTGAATTTTGTCGAATCTGTTTAGGATTCATTCCCGATCGGTCCAAACGGCGCTCCATTTTATTTCGAAATGAAAGATCAGGATAGTCACAAATTCTGCAACATTGCATCATTGGTTCGTTTATTAACACCGCATCTTGTACATTCCAATGCAAGGTTTCCATCTCCATGATCATAGTTGAGTGATGTTGGTCAGTACCCATCTAGTTCTCGTTGGGGAATGTCGCCCTGCTTCGAAATGGTTTTCACCAGCGTACACGCAGGCAGTGATAATCTGTACCGCAGCGCTGTCGCAAAATGTAACAATAACTCAGGATGTGTTGATTTTATCCAGATCAGTGAAAATCAAAGATAATTTTAAAATAAATTAAAACACTATTGAAATAAATAATTCTAATCAAAATGAAAACAAAATTTAAATTAAATATTGAATAGACCTCTGTTTTGGGTTTGACAGTAACCTAACCTATTGTAGCAGTCTTTGCGAACATTTTCTGGGGAACATATTGGTAACGCGTTTATGACCACCCTGTATAAGCAAAAATGAAAATTCGGGAAAGTAACAAATAAGATAAAAGCTGAGGTGTGTAAGTTTTTTTTATACAAAATTCAAAATGGCGGATTGAGGGGTTGCCGAAGTGGGGGGGTTTTCTAGACAATTAGCTAGCTAATTACCAAAACCCCATAGTATATCAATGTTTCTCTTTTGAATTGGTTTATCCAAATATGCATTAAAATTTAAGGCACTCCATTTGAAAAATCACAACTTATGTAGGTCAATATTGGGACACCCTGTATAATGGCCAATATTTTAGGAATGTGCCCTCAAATGTCCTGTATAACATCCCATTAATAGATTTTACCAAAATGTATTTTTGTATGAGTAATATTTCGTCCACACATGGATGGGCCATCCTGTATATATATTAGATATAACTTGAGACGGAAGCTTTAATTTTTCACCTATATTAGAATATATATATATATTTATATTTTTTCTGATTAAGCAGCTAATGATACATCTTTATGACTCATAGTATCCTTTCATATCTTACTTGATTTGC